CTGGAACCTTCGCTTGCTGACGATGACATCCTCAATACCTCTGCGGTCTCCAAACTTCTTCTCAAACATGGTGTAGTTTTTGAAGAGCTCCTGTGCCTGATGTTTAGGGATTCTGTCCAAAGCGTACTTATAGATCACCCGGACTCGCTCGAACTGCAAAGGTAGAGAACAAAAGTAAATAAATACATTACACAATATGATCTCCAACAAAATGAAAGCCAGAAAGAAGTTTGAGAAGTCTGAGCTGCACTCGCCTCCTTCTGAGTCTCCTCAAACCTGGCGAAGGCCACAAAGAGGTTTTCGTCTACATGTTCCTCCCCAAAGAACTCCACTGCCCGCTCATATATTTTCCTGCCGTGGGCGATGTAGCCGTGCTTCTCTTCGAAGCGAGCGTACTTGATCCAGTTTTTCACCTCAGGGTGAACGATGACAAGTGCAGCGACGTTAAGGCAAACGCACCATCACAAAGGTCGTGAGATAAAACAATCAGAATAAAATAATAGCATGAATAAAGTGTTCAGCAACAGTAAAGACAGCTAGATGGAGGTGGAGGATGAAGAAAACTGGGGAGAAATGCTCCAACAGAAGAGATGGTTCTGTGTGGCTTGTGAAGCCCCGACCACACACAGAGACGGGGAACCAGGTGAGGCAAGGAAAAGGCATTCCTCAAGGTTAATCAGTATTTTAGGGTTTATTCTTCCACCTTGAAGGTGAGTTGATAAAAAGTGATATTATAGTTTACATAAACATATAAAGAGGAAGTCTGACAGCAACCTCTGTTGTCTTTCAGAGAACATAATTTGTAGCTTTGAGAAGAAAACAGCCCTGATAATAATGAACTCAGGCTCTGTGGGACGACTCAGACCATCACCCTGATCGCGCTTTTTGTTTCTGTATTTTAAAGTTTTATTATATTGTTTGAATTTAACTGTGGGGAAACAATTCCCAGTATCCTGCATGTTAGTAAAGCAACAAAAGGATATATCGCTCATAAATGGTGCGGGCTTTCTCCACCTCCTTGTAGCGCAGCTCAAAGTTGATGTAAGAGTGCCAGGCCTGCTCTTCAGGCTCCCATTCCATCCATCGCTCAAAGACCTGCCTGCAGCCGGCGATGTTTCCCAGCATCTCCTCCATGTAGGTGTACTTGTACCTGTGCAAAGGAACAGCATTCAAAATATTACACACAGAAGATTTAACAAAAACAGACAACAGATGCACAGCACAGACTCTCCATCAGAGCTGTACAATCACAAGCAGACTCACACTCACACACGATGCACTTTTCAAAGTTTAGAACACATCGTTTACGTCCGATTACATCTCAGCGACTCTATTGTTAGATAAGCGTCAATAAAGTATCAGCCAACAAATGCATTTATTTAATCTTTAACTACAAAAAAGGACTGAAAATTGTGACTGTGCCACTTGTGAAAGCCTGCTGATATTTTAGAAAACAAAACAATCAAGAAATAAATAAAGCAATGAAATGATTTTTAAGTCCTACCAGAACTGGTTGACTCGTGGGAGGATGGTGATGGCTCTGTCCCAGATGTTGCGGGCATGGTTCACCTGGCGGCTTTTCATCTCTATCTCGGCGTACTTTAGCCACAGAGTGACATTGCGATGATCGACATCTAGCGCCCGCTCGTAAATGGAACGAGCTCTGAAACGAGGGTAACCGTTGGTGAGGTAAAAGTGGACCATGCAGACACATGGGCATGAGAAATATTTCTAAAAAGTTTACTAAAATGTTAAAAGATGTGATGACCAATTCCACTTATTTCAGTACGACCAAGACTAAGATGTTTGTGATTGGACCCCTGCGAAGTTGTAGCCATTTAATATTCTGACTTTCAGCAGATTTTGCCTCAGTACCTCTGGATCTCCTTCAGACTTTCCTCCCATTGTGCGTATTTGATCCAGTTACTGATGACGGTCCGGTTCTTCCTGATGTTGTCCTCAAAGCTCTGAAAGAAAAAGATATTCGTCATGTCCAAAAACTATAAAAACATTTTTGTGTGCTGGAAACGTCTCAAATTTTCCGGTTAGATTAAAACTACAAACACTTGTTTAACTAAGCATGAGTATTAGAGCAAAAGTAAAACAAGAGAGCAACACACTTCAAATATTTTATGCTGGCTTTTTAAAACATAAATAAAGCTGTTAAAAATTCTTGCAGAAAGGGCGGTATGAGTAAGAGCAATGTGAACACTACCAGCAGAGAAAATATGATGGAAGCGCTTACCTTCCTCTTCCTCAGTTTGTAGTCATTGAGCTCCTCCTGATCGGTGATCTTCTGTTTCGGTGGTGGTGGCAGGAGTTCGAGCTCTCTCTCTTTGGCTTCCCTTAGCAGCTGCTCTGCAGTGATCTGAACCTCTGCCGGAGCTTTATTCTTCACCTAAAACACATCACAAAATACAATTAGCGTGAGCAGCAGTGAGAAGTTCAGGGTCTCTCCAAAGATCCTCAGGATTTTCTATACAGGCGCTGTGGAGAGCATCCTCACACAGAACATGACATCGTGGTTTGGGAACAGC